CAGCGCCCTTGCCCCTATTGCTGCAGGGCCGTGCATGGCCTGGCGCGTGCGCTAGCAGCGCTGGCCGGGCCTGGCAACGTATGCGCCATGTGCCCCGGGGGAGGGCCCGCGCCACACGGGCAGGCCTGCGCCCTGCGGCGGTGCCACACGCCTGGGCCCAGGACGCCAAAAGTGCTCGGGCCGGCCCTGCACATTGGGAACAAACCATTTGACTCATGCTGCTGACTCATCACTACACAGCTCAGCTCAATTAGAAGAAGTAGCCCAGAGGTCAAAAGCCCCATAAACCTCTGAATAGTCCACCTCTCGGCTCCATATTTGAAGAGACAGCTTGTCAGCAAAGAATCTGTCTCAAAGAAATGGGCTCAAACCTCTTTGCTGCTGGCTTGGGTTGATGTAGCACGGTTGTCCCCAGCATGCCTTTCCTCCGCAGCACTGCCTTCGCCATTTCGCGGTGCTTCTCTGAAACCCAAACACGGATACTTACAACCCTGTACTCAACTGACCCATATGCGAGTTGTAAGTCCCTACCAACCAGAGTGCAGCTGCTTTACGTCTTTCATGTGCAATGTATGAGACAAAAACTCAGTTCCAACATGTCTATTCTTATCGCTTTGATTGAAAGAGACAGTTGATTGTGTTATCCATGTGGTCTGATGCACACTGCAGTGCCGTCTATTTGTTTCATTTAGATGCCTCCCTCTCCTGCCATGCTTTGGCACCAAATAATATTAAACACACGAAGAACCCTTCACCGAGCCCTCCCCATCCCCAGTCCCCACCTGTTCAAGTCTAGGGATGTCAGCAAAAGCACCTCAGCTGATTCTGGTTGCCTGGGAAGTATAAAGGCTCAGCTAGCCAGGACCCTGCCTGGGGAAGGTTTTGGCAATCAAAGACAATACCTTTAGTTACAGTCAGGAAGCAAGCAAGGGACAGAGTCTGGAGAATTAGTGCAAAGAGCTCTCTGCAGCTCAAGCTGCCCAGCAATCCCCATTTATGTTCTTCACCAGCTATAGCTCCTAGATGTACATGGCATTCTCCTATCCTGGAAGTCACAATGGACAACCCTAGCAAAATTCACATCAGGGAAATGGTGACAGTCACCTAGCCAAGTAGAGATAAAAGGCACTTTTGGACACAAATGTTTCTGAGGTTTTAGGGGGCAATCAGAGGTTCAAAGGGCCCAGATTTGAAAGCCTGGAGGACAAAAGGTGGGTGAAATTATCAGTCATGGGCGTAGGCCATTATCATATGAATTTCAAAATGTTCCCCCGGTATTAAAGGCACTGAAGTCTAAGTATCCCAGCTTTGATTTTCTCTGACACAATTTTGAGCTATTCTGTCCATTCAAAATTATGATCGCTTCCTTAATAATCCAATGGCAATATTCTGTAGCCTGTCATGACAAAATTATGCAATACCACTTGCCTAGAGCAATATAATTTGCTCAGGGGAAAGGATGGAAATTTTCTTTTAATACAAATGGTTTAGTGCCCAAAGTTTGGGACAAATGAAATAGAAGATCTAGTTAATCTGTTGTTCTTATTAAAGGGAGAGATCTAGGCTACAGCTTCTGATTCAAAGGAGAACATTCTTTAGATGGAATACCAAATAGTGCAATGTATGATTTGAACTCCCCCCTCCTCAGGGCAAGGTTTACCACGATCCATCAGTCTCTGCAGTGGTCTACCTCATGTGCCATATTTAAAGCTGGGGGAAGGAGACAGGTTGAGAGGTCAGGAAACACAAGGCTTCATTCACAAAACAGGTATGGGACAGCCAGCCTAGCTTCTGCCATGCTGTCCATCAATGGACTGTCACCTGTCCCTAGCACAACTACTTCCAAGAGAGGTAGGAGGATTTTCAGACCCCATGATCCTTCAGTCACTTGCCTCTCTGCTGAAATTGTCAATAACCATCACAATTGCAATGACAAAAAGCCACAAAACGTCACTAAACCCAGATTTAATTTCCAATTCAGTTCATTTCAAACAAGACAGAACAATTTACAGCCCCCTCACAGCTGGGCTGGAATTGAACCATTAACCCTGAAGCAAAATGCTCCATTACCCTCCAGTGACTCTCAGATGGGATCTTGCTACAGAAATGGGGACACTGTTACAACACAGGCCATCACTTACGCAGTTTGGCATGAATGGAGGGAGCTTTGGTCATGATGTATGGGCCCCTTTTTTCCACAGCATCACTCTCCCTGTTTGTCCTCTTGTTCTCCATCTGAGCCTGCTCGAAAGAAAATGAGAAAGAGCAGAATGAGTCAGCCAGCACCATTAAGATCCAAGATCAGAAAAATTATGTTCAGGGCATCTGTGTTATTTTCACTATTTCTAGGACACTCATCGCTGTAATAACCTGCAGTCACCACAGCAAACACCTCCCACATCCCCAGCAATTTAATAGAGCTGAAGGGGGAAACCTTATTCTCTTCCAGCCCAGTGTCTCCTATGAAACTGGAAAGATGGGAGAAGCATGGAAAGAGAAAGATAGATAGTCCATCAATAAATGAGATTTTTGGGAGGGGACTGGAGATTAAATTCAAGACAACTAATATAGCTGTGATAATAAGCTTCCTGTGTACCAATCAAACAAAAAATATAGAACAAGATTTCACAACTTCTCTGATCATGCAATTTGGGAGTTGTAGTGTTATAAGGGAGGGGATAAGCTTTAAAAGAAAGCTAAGCCTGTAGACAGTTTAAAAAAAAACAAAATTATATGACTCTGGGACCAGGGCTTTAAGAAAAAAATCTCTCTCTCAATATTGGGTGTGAGACAAAAATCAAACGACTTCACAACAAAACTAAAACTCTGCAAAAGTTACATAATAAAAGTTGAGAAACACTGAAAATCAGATACTTATAAATCAGCCAATCCAGATAATACACATCTTGGCATAACACCAAAACCTTCTGGAAGTGGTGTATTGTCTCATCTAGTGGCACTGAGACTACTTACAGAAAGGCAGCTCTAAGGCATTAAGCTAAGGAGCAGCTGGTTTTTAGCTCATGCTTACAGACTCCCATTCTAAGCTCCAAAGGTCCCAGGTTCGGTTCTGCCTGTCAGCCTTACACTAGCATAGTAAAAGGAATTAACTAATAAATAAGTGTACAAAAACCAATGAGTTTTGGCAGGGAGTTAACACTAACTCTCCGTGCAGAATTAGCAAAAATACATAGTAGCAAACACACACACCAATCACTTTATGGATATGAAAAACAACAACCAATAGCGGGGTAGCACAACATGTCGCTGGTCTCATGAGCGTTATGGGCACCGCCCACTGCTTCAGATGAGGCGCAGGACATGCTGGCTTTTACAATACAGCTGTGTCTACACTGGGCCACTTATTCCAGAAAATCAGCCGCTTTTCCGGAATAAGCTGCCAGCTGTCTACACTGGCCCCTTGAATTTCCGGAAAAGCAACGCCGCTCTACTGTACAAAATCAGCCGCTATTCCAGAAAAGCTACGCTGCTCCCGCTCGGGCATAAGTCCTTATTCCGGAACACTGTTCCGGAAAAGGGCCAGTGTAGACAGCCCAGGAGTCTTTTCCGGAAAAAAGCCCCGATCGCGAAAATGACGATCAGGGCTCTTTTCTGGAAAAGCGCGTCTACATTGGCCACAGATGCTTTTTCCGAAAAAAGGCTTTTCCGGAAAAGCAACCCGCCAACTGAAAA